GAGGAGGAGAAGCTCCGCGTTCAAATTATTATTATGGGCTTTGCACTCTCGGAACTCACAGTCTCTGCCATTTGTTTTCCAAGGCGGAGCCGGGGTTGGGGCCAATCGGAGGCGCGCATTGCCAATCAGTGCCAATGGCTCTTTTTCCACCTCGACTCCCGCCAAAACCCATCAATCACTTCATTCATTCATTCATTCTGCCAACACCTCAAAATATCAATTCTAGCCAGCTTCCCCACCTCTCTTGAGGCCTCCCACGGAGGACTGTTTAATCCGCTGTACTCTAATTGATCTTTGCCAGATCTGACTGTCTTCTTCATCCCGGCCTCCCGCTTCCCTCTCAACCGTTCACCGGACAGATACTGCACGGCCTTCTGGTCCTCCTCCTCCTCCTCCTCCTCCTCCTCCTCCTCCGCCGCCGCCGTCGCCGCCGCCGCCGCCGCCCTCTCTCAACTGCACAATGGGCAAATACAACCTCACAGCGCTCCGCGTGCGCGAAAAGGCCCTCCTACAGAAGAAGGTCGTCAAGCAGGCAAAACTTCCTATCTGGGCCGATGTTATCGGCAATATCCCTCCCGCTCAGGTCCTCGTCCGAAATCAAGCCCACCAACATCAATTGATCCGCCAGCGCGCGATAAGTGCCAAAACTGAAAACGGTACTAAGACGCATCACGTTTTCCAAGTTCAAGAAAAGAAGGTGAAGCCGAAGAAGGCCAGCCGCATGTTTCTACCTACCGAGATCAAATACGAGGAGGATCAGCTACGCAAAGAATTCTTCAAGGACCATCCTTGGGAATTGGCTAGGCCACGAGTGCTCCTTGAAACCACCGGCCAGGACTGGGTTAACCACGACTGGAGCCGGCTCCAGCAGCCAGGAAAGAGGTTGGATGGTGAGAGGTATGCTACCACACACTTACCCACAGCTGTTTCCTACGCCACTTGTCCCCGTGTCATGCTAAACATCATCTGCTTGCGTGTATAGTGTCGTTCAGCGCCAACTCTGGCTTCTGAACAATGTTGTTGGAATGTCCAAAAGCGCCGCTTACGATATTGCTCGTCGTGAATTCTATCGACTCCGTCTGCGCGAGGATATCGAACGACGAGTTGCGGCAGAAGAAGCCGAGGCTACTGGTGCTGTCTTTGGACCTACGCAGCTGGAGATTGGTATGAAACTCGAGAACCAAGAGTATGAGCGCTGGAAGGTCTGGGCGAAGGATGAAGCTCAGGTCCTGGAAGCGAAACACGCAGCAATGGCCGGTCCTGTAGTACCGGACAATGAGGACTCCGTGAGCGTAGGAGAAGATCCTGCCGATGAAAGCGAAAGCGTGTTTGAATAGAGGAGCCACTTGAGATGTCTTGGGATTGGTAGGAGAGGTTTGGGGGGGGGTATTTTTTGGGAAATGTATGTACACTACTACTACGGGACTGTTGCAGTTGAGATCTCTGGGGTTCAATTTGTTTGTACTGTTACTTAAAGTTTTATACTTCTTTTGTTATTGCATTGAATCTCTTTTTATCTTCTTTTGACCTCATTTGTCTTTAAAGTATTTATCTACTGTCCAATCAGTCGTTTTGTTAACATTTCTTTTGATGTTTTCTATTCCCTCTATTCGTTCTCTGTCCTGGCGGCTACAGTCCATCAAAAAGAATCAAAAGGATCAAACAATAGCAGTGTTTCAGGTGTGGCTCCCGGGCACGCTCCAGGGGCCAATCAACAACTGACTGACTTATCCCCCAAGAATCTGGTTATCGCCCGGAGGGTCTGTCTTGCTCTTCTGCAAACTACTCCTACTCCTACTACTTCTACGGAGACCTCCGTACCTCACCTCATTCAATTAACTCACTGAATGATCGCATCACCGAGCTGATCAGAGAGAGAGAAAAAGAGAAAGAAAAAGAAAAAGAAAACTGACTACTGCTATTGCAGTCAGTTGGTTTAGCTGTGGCTTTCTTCTGACAGCTGCAGCCTTTTTCTCCGCGTTTCAAGTCTCTCGCTCGCTCGCTTGCTTGCTCACTCAACTCCCTCCCTCTCTCACTCAACACTCTCGCCCTCGTCACGCCGCCCATTCTTCTTAACTTGGTTGACCTCTCAGACCCCATCTATTGTCCTATCTAAATACTGTACTGGCTTACAATCTACCTGTCTGCTTCTTAACCTACTATAAGCACTCTTCTTGCAATCCTTCATCCTCGTGATCCTCGTGTTGTTCGGATTCGAGCAAGTTCTCGTCCGTTTGAAGCCTAACAAGTGCCGCCCGGGCCTGGCTGCGCGCCTCACGCCAACTGCACACACTGTCGCCTCCTTTATACCCTCATACTTATCCTTTCTTCTTACGACACCTTACCTAGTTTCACTATACATCGATCATGCTTCGTGCAGGCCACAGAACACATTCCGGAGACATCTTGGCTATCTGAGTGCATGTTCGAATCCCGAACCATAAATCACGAAAATTGCCAGCGCCAGGCCGATCGCATAGACCCTCTTACTCCGTATCTCACCCAATATGTTGTCGACAATGGTGCGCCCGGATGATACCATCAGGATGCCCTTCGCCTACCGTGGCGATGCGGACAATGACGACGATGGCAGACAATCTTTGGAACAGAGCCTACCGGTCTCACTGGTACCAGCCTCGTTGGTGCCTGCTGCATTGGTGCCTGCCTCCAGAATCGATGCACCGGCCAAAATTGAGGATGAGGTAACACTTGTCAACGGAACCGCAGGCGACGGCAATGGCACTACAGGCAAACACCCACCAGGACCCCGCTTGTTAACAACCGAGGAGACAATCGAGCTGGCCCGCCGGGCGGTTGAGAATGGAATCCAAGAAACAAAACGCTCGCTTGCGGGAAGTGAAGCAGTCACCGATGTAGTGAAGCCGAAGTTGACCATCGACTTGGGCCACTCCAACATCTCTCGTATTCCCGAGTCAGTCGTGGATACCATCAAGGACGAAGTTGAACGGTATGTTGCCTTCCGCCTTCGAGAGAATGCTGCTACGACAAACGCCACCTGCCTGTCCGGACACGCTGACCACTAGTAGACTCTCGCTATCCAACAACCAGTTGGTGCACATACCCTATCGATTTGCAGAGTGTCGTCATCTACGATATCTCAATATCCGGGCCAACAGTTTCCGCGAATTTCCCAAAGGAGTACGTTCCGGTCATGTCAAATAGGCCTTTTTCTCTATAGATTTTTAACAATGATTCTAGGTCTATAAGCTGCCGCTCCTCGAAATTCTAGACATCAGTCGCAACAAGATAAGCCACCTTCCGGAAGAGATCAAAAAACTCTCATCTCTTAGGGTTCTCTCGGTAATGCAAAACCGCCTCGATGATTTACCCCTCGGGATCTCCGACATGAACAAGCTCCAAATCCTGAAAGTTGCTGGCAACCCCTTGCGGTACCCCCTGCGACGACTCCTCGAAAGCTCTGAAACAGAATTTGCCCCCTCGAGCTTGACCGATAACGAGAAGGAGGTTGCAGTAACCGCAGAGCTTAAGAGGTTTTTGAAGACAAAACAGCCTGTTGCGCCCTTGGAAATTGAGAAATACGACCCGAGGTATGTCCTCTCGTCTTCGCTCCGTAGCACCGAAACTGATATCGCAGGGCTTTCAGCGAGGTCATGCTGGATACTCCCAAACCTCTTAAGCGTGGAATGAGCAGTCGATTCCCGGTGATTCCCAGTACTGGCGACAGTGCCTCCGACCCTAAGTCGCCCTCGTTAGGTCGACCACCGCCAATCCCGATGAAGTCACACTATCGTATCGCCTCGGGGCACAACCCTGCCTTCCACGGTGCCGTACTCCAGCGCCCAGGAGCAAAACCTTATGGTGCGTACAATGAGCGCAATCGAAGTAACAGCGAAGGCATCATCCAAGCCTCTCTCGCAGCGCGCAACAAGCGGATGGGGGTCATTCGGAAAAATACAGACCTGGGAACTCTCGACGAGACACGTCCCTATCGGAATAGCCATCTGCGAGGTTTGAGCTACGGCTCGATCCTTCGTACCAGGCCATCTGGCGCCCTATCTAGCAGCAATTCTTCCAGTCCCAGCAGCCCAAGGGAACGCAGGCGCTTGAAGGATGGGTTTGTGAATCGAATGTCGAGTCTACCAGAACAAAAAGCAGAGAAAGTGACAGCCGAGCCCATTATTGCAAGCGCAAAGTGCATCTTATTCGCTCTCTTCCAGATTCAATCCAATGTTACGTCCTTGATAAGCGTCATCAAGCGCGAAGACGCCCGTCGAAATAGCCTTGAGATTGTCTTCTACAATGCTTCTACTCATGTTGATCGCCTCAACGAGGCTATCGAGAACGCAGAACACTCTCAATTTGAGGAATCCGACGTGGCACGGTTGGCCAACGAGGCTGTAAAGCGAGAATGTGAGACGTGCATTATCGCCTACACACACGTCGGAACGCAGTTACGGAACAGTATCGACAAAATAGTCACGAACGGCGAGTCGTGCTATGTGCGCTCCCTGATTCTCATGATATTCGGTAGCATGGTTGAATTGCGCAATGCGTGTGCACATCTTGGGGTACCCATCGAAAAGGGCCCCAAACCAGTTGCGAAGTTGCCAGTCCCAGAAATTAAGGAGTCCGCAGGTCCGGACCGATTTCTGGGGCCAACCGTGACACCAACGAGGGGAAGAGAGCAGTCGTTTTCGATACGACGCTACCGAAGTGACACAACAATCCAGCATCCTCAGATTGTTATGAATGGTCCTTTCCACGCAGCATCGCAATACCAGTCTGCCGTCAGTTCACCAGGGTTTGCCCCGACGCCATTCAGTCTCGCCGCACGGAGTCGGTCCAGTAGCAGATCCAACCACATCAATACATCCATACCGTCGTCACTGGCAACCCCTCGCTTGGGCGAGTCATTCCCTGCGATCCCCAGCTCTGTTATACCTCGAATCAATCCAATGACTGGGCTAGACGAGATTGAAGAAGAGCGAATCTTTGAGCGAATCTTCGGTCAGCTCAACTCGGCATGCAGCGCTGCTCTCCAGGGATTGCCTGTAGCATTCGCTCAACTGGTGCGATGTCTCGAACTTGCTGAGCAAACACGGAAGTCAGAGGGTATCGTCATGCTTTGGAAAAATCTCATCCACCGCTGTCAGGTGTGTCTGGAAGTCTCAGAGGGCTTGGGCTCAAGGCTATCCAACATGAAGGTCAAGGAGCCTGGCGGTGGTGACCGGAACGCGCGCGAGTTCTGGCACCACTGCAAGGCATTTTTGCAGTCTTTCGTAGACCTTGTCATTGACATGAAGGAGGTTCGAAATATGAAAATTCTCCCTAACGACATTGTCAACATGCTTCGCCCTATTCAGAGGTCGAGCAGAGAAGCGGGACGTATGATTGATGCTTCGCCCTGGTCTTTTCTTGCAGACAACCCCAGCAATCCAACTCCCAACATCTACGGACCTCCTTTGCAATCGCAGCATCCACAGCACCAAACCTCGGTATCGACCAACACGTTTCATCATGGCCCTAATTTATCGCCGTCCGTCCATCTTCCTGCAACACCCCTAAGTGCCGCCCTCGGTCCCGCTGCGCAGGCGACCGTTCCCTCTACCCCTGCCAGTGCATATAGCGACAAGTTTTTCGAAGGGGATGTCTTCCAAAGAGCCGACTCTTTGCTCTCGATGCCTAACCAAGCACCATTCTTCGCCCGTCGCTGAACACCAGCCAGCCTTCATCATCTATCTTCCTTCAGCCTTTTGTACCCACTGTGACACTCCGATGCGTTAACCGTGAGTTTCACGTGGCCACAAATTCGCATTGTTCATGGCTCAATGAACCACCCCGACATAGATCAATGTCCGCAGCATCACCTCTTCTTACTCTTACATGCCTTCCACGATCTTCCAGGCGTCTTTCGTAACCCTATCTGTGTCGCATACTTGCATGTTTTTTCTCCATGGACGCCAGGAATACAGGGGCACATCGAACCAGGACTTCAAAACAGGCGGCGTATGGCTTTTCCAGCGTTCAGATTTTCTACTGGGGAAGGACTTTGCATAGCGTGCTCTATCCTTTTTGTTTTTGACTATGCATTATGAAGATCAAGGCGAAACGAAATCCCCATCATGTATTTGTTTGTTTTTTTTATTGCCTGATAGAGGTGTCTCGATTGAAAACAAAACAAAGAACTGAAAATACCATCAGACATTGATTCCTCCCAAAAGCAAGGAACCCTGAAAGGAGCCTCGATTCCTCGCATAACATGACAAATTAGATCGAAACGTGAACTCAGCTGTTGGTGCAGCAATCACTACCTATTGCAAACCTAAAAACCAATAACCCCCTAACAATCGTGGGGTTGTTTTTGTACTGTACAGTAGTTTGTGTGCTTGTGCTTGTGCTTGTTATTGTTTTGTTTTTCTGCTGCTGCTGCTGCTGCTGCCGCTGCAATCCTCCCAACACTTCGCCCCTACTGCGTTGCATGCATCATGCAGGCTCCCCCCTCCCCCCTTCCCCAGGAGAAAGAGTCGTGATGTGCAAGACATCCACGCGCTGGCCTGCGGAATACATCTACGGTCTAGTGAT